GATCATCCGTATAAAGTCAAGGACCTAGGCATGCAGACTGCTTCTACAAACATTTGTGAAAGAATGGGTCGCTCTGAGGACCTCTGTGAATTCCAGTGTGGTTCCATGATTGCAACAAGTTCAGTCGTGAAATGTTCTCTCTACTAAATATTCCACAGTCAGCTGTTAGTGGTATTATAACAAAGAGGAGGTGACTGGGAATAAAAGCAACTCAGTCATAAAGTGGTAGGCCACGTAAAATCACAGAGTGTGCAGAGGTCGCCAACTTTCTGCAGAGCCATTCACCACAGATCTCCAAACCTTATGTAGCCTTCACATTAGTTTCATGTCAGGAATGTGTTTATGGTCAAATAAACATGCTCCTAAACCTTATGAAGCTGTTATATCTGCAAAGGATGGGACGACATCATATTAAACCCTATGGATTATGAATGAGATGACACTCAAGTTCATGCGTATAGAAGCAGTCGAGCAAATACTTTTCACAATATGTTGGTGAAATCTTTAGCTAGTGGAAGTCGCAGGATACAATTGCTTGAGATACAGACTGGCAGTAAATACCATAGACCAGGGGTGGCCAACTCCAGGCCTCATGAGCCGGTGTCCTGCAGGTTTTAGATAACACCCTGGGTCAACACACCTGAATCCGGCCTCTGGAGAACTTCAAGACATGTTGAGGAGGTAATTTAGCCATTTAAATCAGCTGTGATGGATCAAGGACGCATCTAAAACCTGCAGGACACTGGTGTTCCGAGAAACCGCCTTACATTGGCAAATCGTCCTACCTGTATTGTAATTTGACTTTTGACTAATCCAAACCCTAACCATAAGAAATATTCACAATGGGTTAAAAAAATGATGTAAATTTGGGGTTTGTGTTACACGCATGCGCAGCGTAAGCGCAGAAACAACGGGTAGGATAGATTCCCAGAACACCGGCTCTCGAGGCCTGGAGTTGGTCACCCCTGCCCGAGAGGGTTACCTATGCACTATCTAGTTGGACAATCTAATTCAGGGGTGGGCCACTCCAGGCCTCAAGGGCTGTGGTCCTGCAGGTTTTAGATAACACCCTGGGTCAACACACCTGAATCAAATGATTAGTTCATTACCAGGCCTCTGGAGAACTTCAGGACATGTTGAGGAGGTAATTTAGACATTTAAATCAGCTGTGTTTTAGACGCATCTAAAACCTGCAGGACGCCGGCTCTCGAGGCCTGGAGGGTTACCTGTACACTATGTAGTTGGACAATCTAGTTGCAACCAGCAGCTAGCTTCAAGGAATAAACACCAAGCAAATGGCCTGCAGTGTGGATGCACGTTTAAACAACAACAAAAAATTTTTTTAAAAAACCCATCAAGTAAAGCAAGGAAACATAATATCAGTACGATATATACATTTTAAGTTATTTTGTTTTCCCTCAAACACAGTTATTTACCCAAGACTTTCTTTCTTCACTATCTTATTGATGACAGCTGATGAACTACTACAACTTTAGTCTTTCCATTATTGGAACCAACTCAAAATGAGACTTTTAAATCATAGTTAAACACTTTTAGAGCATCTTGGAGTGAGAAAATAGAAGGTTAGCAGTCAGATCCCAGGTCCCAGCTTCCCTAGATAATGACTGTTGCTTTTCAGCCCCCTCCACCCCCAGTAATCACTATAATGCAGTCATCTCCTACACCACAGAGGGCCACAGTACATGTCTCTGCATGAGAATATTGGCCCAAAGTTATCTGCAATTGCAATCACATTACACCAAGTTTAAACTAAGTTATAAAATTGCAATGCTTAAACAGCAGTTTGCAAACTCTAAGGAACACAAGTTATTTGTTGAGTTTGAAGTGTTTCGAATACATTATTGTCTATTTCAAGTTCTGCAACAATATGTGTTTGTGTAGGCACTTAATCTACAGTAAAGCTTTAGCGCTGGCAGTTTTAGGCCATATTTGGCTTATTGATAATAAATAAATAAGCACAGCAGAGCACCACAGAGAAAATCTATTCATAATTGGATGAAAATATTCAGAAACTTGGTTTTCAAAAACGATTTTCCATTCCACCAAAACATTTTGATTTGATTTTCATTTCCCTCACATATTTATCTGCACAGCACCTTTGACAGCTTAGGCATCAGGACACTCATTTCTTAAATTATTACCTTTTCCCATTATTTCCCCCCCATGAGTAATTATCTTGGTTATTTAACAGTTTTTATCTGCTTTCATCCCCATCTGCTCTCTGCTCTGCTGTGAAAAGGTTATGTCACCAAACTGTGCGCCCAACAGGATTTAGCAACATTTTAATCTGAATCTGACGACAGCTGGATGGATGTTGTTTGCTGCCGGCGGTCATAAATCTGATCCAAACCACACCTTCGTAATCCCAGCGCAGCAGGTTTGGAGTGTTTACAGTGAGATTATGTAACCTTTCGAAGAACAACTCACAAATTCCTCCTACTCATTTCATAAACAGCCTTTTAGCTTAACTCAGCACACCTCACAGTTTTGCTGCTGTAGTCTGGCATGACTTTAGATAGATACTACTATTGTTACTCTACATTTCAGCATCTTTATCTGATGCAGAAAGTTGAATACCCTTATTTAACAAGTAATAAGAAGATATATTTTTACAGGATTATATTTTTCATATATTTTTCAATAGATCGTCATGAATGTTTATTGCTATGACATAAAAAGTGCTCAGGGGTATTTAAAATATTGTTCTTCAGAGGAATGCAGATATTCTTACCATCAACATGAAGCCAATTAGATGTTTCCCAATGCTGCATCTCATCAGTAATTTGCTTGAGGATTGAGAATGACAGATCCTTAAATGTAGCAGGACCAATGTCTGAATGTCCTCTGTGCCGATAAAATATTAACATTACAAATCCAAGGCATGCACTTACTGGAGTTGCCACTGATCCAAGTGAAATCTTAATTTACGCAGTGGAAAAACTGCTAGCAACCATCATAAGCACGTTGGTGTGGGCAGGTTCTCTGTGGTCCTTTCACTCGGAGTGACCCGAGCGAAGGTCACAGGTTAAAGTTCTTCATACCACAAGTGCTACTGTATCAAGGTGTTTGACCTCGTTTTGATCCTTTCATTCTCAAATAAAATAACATTTCCCAGAATTCATAGTGGTTAAGTATTCAGCAATCAGTGTAAGGATCACTGTTATCGACTTTTTGTCAGCGCTTTCCAATTTTAAATTTGATGAATGAGCCCTGAGGTCAATCTATTTTTCCTTATATAATATCCACAGCTTCACTAATATATTTATTCACTTTGCTTGGACATTTTGCTGGTTTTGGGATTTTTTTTGGCATTAACAGTATGTTTTGATTCCAGGATGATAGCTCATCTTGCTAATTTTTTTATCTAGGTGATTTTATTCTGGTCTGACTTTCATATGATGGTGTAGTTTTATATCTGCAGTTACCATAATATTTGTTGTCTGTTGTCAGATTTTCCGGAGGTGTTGGCTGGTGTTCAAGAAAGCCTCGAGTAAAGGACCCCGGCGGTTAGAGAAGTACCCAGATGAGAAGGCAGCCTACTTCAGGAGCTTCCACAAGGTAAACAAATGACTCAAAAACATCACCTAACATCATTCCTTTTTAATTAACTGTTTGTCTTGATGTCTTCTTTAGTAGATAAAATGATTATTGAGTACTAGATCAACATAATTGATTGTGATTTTGATCCTATGGCTGTGACTAATACGAGTTGTGATCATCTATCAGTTACTTCTTGATTAATCTGTCCATCGCCCTATGAAATGACAACCTCATATTCCCAGCCCAGTGTAATGTCTTAGGTTAAGACAAGGAGTCCAAAATATTTAAAATAATATGTAGGAGACTAAAAAAAAACTAAAAATGTTAAAATTGATCAGGGAATTTTAACATTTCTGATTAAAAGAGGAAATAAATAATCCATCTTCTTAGCTGTGGGGATTAGGATTACTTTTTCATATGAAAATCTTTGGACTTATCTGTGGCTCAAAAAGGATTTTCTTTAAATCTGAAGATGTTTAAAACATCATATAATGTTTAAATAATTTTTGTAGAGACGCACCGATTGCAGTTTTCTCAACAGAATTAGGTTTCTGATTTTCCTCCAAGTTTGACCTGCTGATAACAATTTTTGCTGATTCCACCTTTACCTGACAGATTTTACTGAACAAAACCAGGTGCAACAGATTCATGTAACACATTTTAGATACATTGTTTTCCAATATGTTTATCTCCATAATCTTTCTCATTACTGCTTTGATCCTTTCCCCTTTGAGGCGTAGCTAAACGGTTCACTTTAGCTAATTTTGGGTCTCCACTCACTTCCACGCTAACAAAGTAGCGTGTGGCCATGAGTGTGTTCTTTTCTGTTCTATTGTATGACACATTATGAACAAAACAAGTACTCAATAATCACTCTGAACAGCGTAACATATTGCATTGTATTTATTTACACAGTGCTGACTTTTTGTGTGCTGTACCAGTACCACGCTGTGGTATTCCCAGTGTTGGAGAGAAAATTCTCATTGTGGGTGGTGAGGTTTAAGGATGCCAATGTCACTCAGTTCATTGGTCGATCATGATAATGCAGCATGTAGTGACCGCATTACCGTGAAATTAGGAATCAATATTCATAATCTCCACAGTATGATTTGTGATGATTTAGTAACACCCTGACCTTTCGTCTAATGTAATCATTAGACATCACTTTGTATTTGACTCTACTGAAGTCGATGAAACTGTAGCCTCTATAGAAAACCATATATGCAACACCCAGTGGGTATTTAAGGTCATTAGAAGACCTTGAAACTAAAAGTTTGTCCGATCTTTGTCCTCTTGAATCCCAAAAGAAGATTAAACCTGCTGTGTGACTCCTCATGTAGCAGCCTAAGGTACTGTCTAAATGCTGATGACATTGACATGCAGAGCACAATTACAAGACGGCAGCCGAGTTTCATTTTGCAGGTTGGCCAATTGGTGGAATTAATTTGCTTCAGCTGATAAAATCTGATGGAAGTGGTCCCCCAGTAAAAATGAGATGTCAGGAACTGTCCTCTCAAAATCCTCCTGTCCTCTTCAAACTACAGAAACAAATGTTCTGGTAAAAGTCTCATGTGAACTGACTTTCAAGATATATGTATATTTTTTTCAATTTCCAGCACGACTTCTAAGAAAAGTATTGCTGCTTATCTTTTAAGAGTATATTACTCACAAGGTGCTTTCTACACTGTATAAAAAGATTATGGAATATGGTTGTGCACAACTGTGCCTTGTTTTCATCTTGATGTATTAAGTTCTGTCCATTGGCCTCAGTTGATGAAGTTAAGGATCTATTAAGACACAGTTTGTAACTTTATCTTGTTCTTTGGGGCCTTTTTCCTCCCTTCAGAAAGTAATAATCCAGAGTATAATATCTCACTCCCTGCCTCTTAAGCCCTTTGAAATACTCCAATTATGGCTCATTATCATGGTGAGTGGAGATGATGTTAAAGGAGTAGCACTGTGAACTATGTTTTATCATAATGAGGGGAGATAACTGCAGATAATAGGGGACCGTGACATCAGTTTCTCATAAGGCGATATGTTTGAGAGAAGATTTAGTACTCTTTACTACTTGTGATTATGAGTTAGCTGTGAGATTTTTCATTTTTGGTAGAATTTAACATTTTTTTCCACATTCCTGTCTGAGAAAGCTTATATACAAGCTAGGTAGATGTTTTGATCCATTTCCTTAGCTCACTTTGCTGCTACCGTATCAGCCATGTATTGTGAATGAAACATCTCTATGCCTACTGCATCATGCTGTCACATGGGGCATCCTGTGTGGCTGTAGCTCCCCTCCCAGAGGGATCTCATACACCCAGTGCTGGAGTGAGCGATGAGTGCACACATGCACCAGTGCGCCTGGTAATGCATCGCCACAAAGATCAAGAAAGGTCCCGTCTGAGGGCTTCATTCAACGCTGCAGTGCTTTGGGGGGAAATAGGCTGCACTGGTGGCTGATTTACACAATCAACACAAAGGGGATTGGCTTTTTTTCCCTTTCTTTCTCCATTCCCTCTTCTCTCTCCCACTCGTCTCCCTCTCCCTGTGCAGTTTTTGCTGTCTGAGGAGCACTGGTCCACGCAGTAAAAAGTCCCTGAATATTTTTAGCTCTCTGAAAAGTTGTTCTCCTTTGTGCTACATTTCCTGAGCTCTCCTGAGGTCCCGACAGGAGCAGTTAACATGAAATGATGGAGCTGTAGCTAAACGCCTAATTTGTACACATGGATGTGGAACTAACCAGCAAAGCAGGAAGAGCTGAGCAGACTGAGCCTCAATAGTGCAGCTGGTTGTTCCTCCAATTTGGTCTATATAGCAAAAATTATTGTACAAACTATGTTGCACTTTTATACAAAAACCAAATGACTAAATTCATATTTTATGTCTGTTAAATCAGAACCAGATCTCATCTAAACAAAATTCTGTAGCATGTGTGGGGAGGGCGTAAAGTTTAAGCTCGCTATGAAACTCCATAATCAAGATTTGCTTAATCATCCGTTATCAGGGCGGATGTCAAATAGTTGAATCTCAGCTCCTGTGCATAGCAAATGGGGAATGGAGGCAAATACCTCAAGATGATCTTTTTGTAGTCAAATGTCTTGGGCCACACATCCTTTCTTTATATTTTACTTCCAAGGAGCCAGCCTTTTCTTGTCTTGAGCACTAGTTTTCCAAGGTATCTGAAGGTGGTTTTTTTTTTTGTAGCTTAAACTATGAAAAATGCAACACATAGCATGCTATGAAAGGGATAAAATTGTATGTTTACACCATCAAGTTGTTTTCCAAAGAGCTATTAGCTAAAAACCTAGCGTATTTGTCAGCATGGCGTGCAGTTTTTTCTTTTAAAATGTAGGGAAAGTGGACAAGAGGACAACAAAAGAACTGGCAGATCTAAAAATCTATTAACAGAAGATGAACTGAAAATCATGTCCTTAAGAAACCGGAAAGAAATAGAGTAAAGACCTGACGCAGGACCTGAGAGATGCTCTGGACCTTCAGTTGATCCATATACTATTACCCAAGGTCTCATCAGAAGTGGTCTCAGTAGAAGGGTCCTTGACAATGAGTAAAAAATGAGAAAAGCTGACCTAAACACACAAGGGAACATTATCTGTCATGGATTGGGCTCCCCCGAGGCAGAACCTCAAAGCCCAAGGAGGTATTTCTGAAGACTACCTAAATAAATCACAATAATGTTTCAGACAATGTTGATCAAAGGTGGTCATAACAAATATTGACTGTCAAGCTTGTTAGATGTGCATAAACTCTTGTTTTTGTCTTATATTTTTATTTTGCTACAAATGTTTCAATAAATCACAAATATAAAGAAATGAGGGGTGGCTCAAATGACTAACAGTCTTCCCTGTTTTGCACAGTACTGTATATTCAGGTGGATGAGGACTTGAAAATCAAGTACATGTTTAGAATAAGAATTTATTTTTTAGATCAATGTACAACTGCAATACAGTTTACAATAATAATCTCACTTTGGACACTGCAGAAAGAGAGCCAGCAGTAATATATTCAGCCAGCCAACGTTGGTGACTTTATTGTTTATTATTTTCACAATAGGAAACTGCTGTTTTAGATTATAGCAGAAACACTGTAAAATTACAGTTCCATGCTGGAAAACCAATAAACAGTACTTTACTGTGATTTAACAGGAGAGATCGTTAGCCGCTAGAAGACGAAGCCACTTGATGGAGAACAGCTGTTTTACTCTAACACTGGCACTTGTAAAACTAGCTTTCAACCCCATGTCGACCGCTGTTAGATGGAATTCTGTTAAATTTAGTTCACAGTTCAACCAGTTTGACTTCAAAATACCTGCAAACCTAATTGCATTCTCTTCAGCCTCAGCCGCTCTTTACGTTTCATGCTAATTAGCAAACATGAGCATGCTAGTAGGCTAATCTACTTAGAGAAGATGATACCTTTTATTTAGCATACAAGTTAGACTACACTGAGCCACTAGTATGACTAGGGTTCCAGTCATGAGATTTCTCTTGCGCCTCATGTCTGCTATGCATGAAAGCTAAACATGAATAAAGATGAAGAGGAAAGAATGGGAGAGGAAATAGGTCTCATCAGAAATGATTCACTATGCTTGGACTCTAGCACCTCAGGCTGGGAATGCACCCAAATCTTTCATTTCACACACGCATCACACAGATAAAGACTAAAACATGCGCAGTTACACACTAAACACAAACAGGGAAAGAAAGAGATGAGAGGCTGGTGACATTCACTGCTTAGAAATTCCCAGCGTTGACGCTTACTTTGTGTCAGTTATGAATTGCCTGCCCGAGGACAAATTCATACCGTATCTCATATGAAATATTTAGATACCATCTTTGAGAGGGGATAAGAAAAATAAACAAACGGGACAAAAAACAAAGCACTTCTTATCTTTCAGTATTGTAGCCTCTGATTTACTTCTTCATCTGTTGTATTTCCAGTTGAAGTTCAATATTGCGGGGCAAATGCATTAAATCTAATACTATCAAACACAGAAATCTCAAGTCCACATATCCTGTGTGTGGGTAAGGTCTGGTCCCTTAACTTTTAACAGTCAAGCTGTACTATACAGGGAGCCCAGCTAATTCATTCCCAACAGTCTGGCAAACTGCCCACAGTTAGCACACAATGGACTACACTAATGTAATGGGTCTTATCTACTAGGCAGAGTGAACACAGAGAAGACTGTTGAACAAAATGGCCTGTAAATGCGGTTTATATTTAATTAAATGTAATCTTCTCTTTTTTTCATTTGCTCAATCAATCTCCTGGTAAAGTGATTTAGATGCTTATGATCGCGCTCCTGTTTATTGACTGGAAGGGCAGCTTTGAGGAGATGAACAATAGATGTGCTGTGTATACCGAAAGAGCACCGGGTCATGTTTATTCATAGAGGTGCCTTTAAAATAAATAACATACTTACATTTTACACATCACGCTGCAGCAGGCTTTATGATGCAGGAAGCTGACACTGTGTGTGATTTCTTACTGTTTTAAGCTATTTTTTGTAATCAGCCAAATAACTACTTCTGTTTATGTATCCCTTAAGATCACCCCCATCGCCCTTTTTTGTTTTGTTTTGTTTTAATTCACCCCTTTAATGCTAAGCCTCTAACTACTATTGCAATTTCAGCAAAGCTGTGCAAGGCTGCAATTAAACCATGCTGCTGCAGCTGCTGCTGGTAGCTGTGTTCATTCAAGGCAATATCCTCCTGCCACACTCTCTTTTTAGATCACTGAGCTCCATAACATCAAGAACATTACCCGGATGCCACGGGAGACAAAAAAGCATGCTGTGGCGATCATCTTCTGTGACGACACGTCCAAGACATTCGCCTGCGAATCAGGTAAAAATCAAAATTACTATTTTTTTTTTTTCTCTAGCCACTTCGGAGCAAGGACAGCACTGATTTCAAGTGTCATTTCTTATAAATGCGCCGGTAGGAGTAAGATGAGGACTGACGGCTTGGTTTTTTTTAAAAGTTTGACGAGAAGTGGAAGGAGAGTGAGAAGTGAGAGGTTGAAGGAGAAAGACAAATAGAACGAGTGAGATGAGGGAGGCAGCGGAGAACTGGAGTTTAGCCAAGTGATGCTCATTTGCCGCTATATTAAGAAGTGGGAGGATCTGTTCCGAAATATTGATTTTCATAGTGCAGGTATGAAAACTGATATCGGGCATAATTTGCGGCGTGTTTCAACTCAATTATAGACTGTAACAATACAGATTGTTTCTAATACGTGGATAGACAGCAAAGAAGGCTCAGGATCTGCACACGGATGGCGTTTTTTTTGTGCAAAGCTGAAAGCAGAGGGTTAGGTAAGGTGGATACACCTGAATTAACATCTTAACTCCACTCTTGCAGGTGTGCATTTGGGAATATTCGCATTTGACATGGAGAGTTGTGAATTCATATCTTAACTCTCTCCCCCTATCTCTGCTGGATCAGTCCTCTCACCCCAACATATGAGTGTCTTTTTCCCCTTTTTTGACCATCAACCTTCCACATCTGATATCCTTTATTTCCCTTGCATCACATGATATACAAAAGTGTTAAACTTGTGGAAATTAGCAAAAATGTGCCATCCTGTAAGTAAGAGGCTCAGGTTGTATCAGATTTAAATTTGGCATGCTGCCTATTTTCTACAATGCAACAACAGTGAGTGTATGGATTTAAAAACAGGCATTTTTAAAGTGCAGTCATTTCTTAAGGCATTCATACAAATGTGCCAATAATTGGATGTTCACTGTTTTTTTAAAAGCAAAGAGCAAAAGCAGATAATTAGGTCTCATGAAGCTCTCTTGATATTTTAGTTTTTTTAAAAATAACCATTTTATTCCTCCATCTAAGCAGTACCGTGTTGTTTGGTGTGCTGTTGAGGAAACACGGGATGGAACAAAGGAAAAATCATTTAAAATTCCTGACAGCTTTGGGTGCATCTGACAAATATGCACATAAGGAGAGATGAGCATGACCTGAAGAAATGAGAATCCTGTCAAGTGTGCCAACTCTTTAAATTCCACAGCCGAATGGGGCCTGACAGCACGTATACAAGTGGATATACATTTTGCATTTGTCTGGATAACGGCGCCTTCTCCCGAAACAGGAAATACAAAGAAAGCTCGACTGTCTTTTGATTTGATTCTCACATATACTGTCACTCCAGCTTCATCTTGCCAGCACATCCATCCTTTTCCACAGCACACCTCCACACTGAGACATCCTCCCGCAACATCTCTTCATGCATGGCACATGGAGTTGCGAGGTTGCCTCTGTGCTGATGAACTGTTTGCTTAGCTGATTTTCCACTCACTGGCCTTAAAAAGTGTGGGAGTGTAGAGGCCAAGAAGGCCATGGCAACTGAATGAGAAAAGCTCAATCTGGGGAGGCATGAGGAAAGAGCTCAAATTCAGAGCTGCTGGTGCTGCCTGTAAATGTGTGGCTCCAAAGTTTTGCTTTTTTGTATGTGTGAATGAAGCGCTCCAGGCAGCAACAGACCTTTCCTTCACCCTGCAGAGTAATGTAGATCTGTCCCATTGACAATGCTTGTCAGAGCTGAGCTGACAAACAGGTTGTCTTGCAATGCCGGCAAATACACCAGGAAGACACGCCAATGCTCTCTCGCATTTTACACGAGTGCATGAGGATTTTTTCGTAAGCAAACACAGAAACATGGTAGAATTCCCACACTTGCACATGTGTCTCTGTACACATGAGTGGCCATAGTTACAAATCCCAGTGCTCCCCAGGGCCAGGGAGCTTCAGAAAGATAAACAACTCTGGCGTTTGCCTCATTTCGCACTTCAGTGACTTTCACCAAACGTTCATGTAAGACAATTGGAAATCTTCTGCACTGTAAACACAATTTTTCTGACTTAACAGGAAGGAAAATTGGTATTCACACGTAACACACTGCCACACAGACTTCCAGATTTGATTCATGAAATCATTTGTTTCCACTTAGCCTTAAATTAAAAAATCTGTCTCACAATAAATGTTCTGCTTCGTTTCCGGCTTTCATCCGTAGCAGGCGCAACTTCTTCCACGCAGCTCATTTCCTTAATCCAAGATTGTTGCTTTGGAAGGAAACAATAATTGTCCTAATTGTCCAAATTTCTCAAAATTATCCAACAATGTTACTAAACATAAATTTGGAAGTTAAAGCCCCAACACAAAGCTCGTAACCCTGTGTGCCCCCAAAGGTGTCCTGCTAAGGCACCTTTGGAGACTATTAATACCACCTATACATTAAATATGAATACAGCTGGTTAGCTCACCTCATTACAGCATTTCAGGGAGTTATTGGATCAGATGATTCTGTGTAAAACCTCAGCGGCACTTAAAGCGGTACCTTCACTTTGCTTTCTGTGGGGATGAAATAAAAAGGAAATGGTAAAAAAAGAGCCCTCAAAGCTTAGCTTCAGCATTTTGGATACATTCTTATTTTCTCGTTAACAGAGGGACGTAACAAGGGTTTGGAAAAAATAATAATGTTACGTTACTAAGGTGCTCATGTGCACACTTGTAAAGAGAGACGAGATCCTGGAGTTGAATTTCAATCAAATCCAAACATTTTGCACTTTAAAGGACTTTAATTTGTCCCTCTGTGGGGGAAGGAGTAACTGTGTATGTAGGAATATGGAAGATGAATGTTGCATGTATAAAACAATGAAATAGAATAAAAAGCAGCAATTATTCCTTTAGTGGAAATTAAAATACCACGAGGGAAAAAGTCATTTACTCTGTGGCTCTGGACCTGCTGCGTCTCTGATTCACTCCTCCAGCCAATTATTGTTCCTTGTGAGTCATGCATCCACTTAACCTGCTAAACACAACCCAATCAGAGGCACTGCAGGGCGGTCCATTAGCCTTTTCAAAGTAAAAGCCATCTGATGTGTTACACATTCATGCTAATTTTGACAACCTTATTTTGGAAAATGCAAAATGATTGTAAAATGATACCACTGCCTTTCTACACTAAATATAACTCTATAGCCAGGTAATATGCTTGATTGCTTATCGTGGTGGAAACGGGAAAAAAAGAGGGAAAGAGAGTATAAAACTTTTTTAAAAAAATGTGGAATTCATGTATTTCCTTTCCAGCTAACAAGCAAAACTCCTTCTTCAATTTGGGAAATAGCTTATTGATTACCTGAGAAGATTATCACTAGTTTCAGATTTACTCTGGCCATATTATTTTAGCTGTGCTCCTTATATTTTATAGCCTTAGAGCTGAGTATTGGCAGATAATGGAGGAGAAACCCCGTCTTCATCTGGACAGAATCCACTGCCTTTTTTAATCTGCACCAAATCAATCAGACTGATCCCCCCAGTCCTTTCACTGTTTGCTGTACTGTTGCCTTGTGCATGTAACGCATTACTCCTGAAATTCCATGGATGGTTTATTTCATATGGTAGTGTAACATGTACAGCACGTGTTGTCGTGTATGTGTGTGGTTAATGGTGGACATTCCTTTATGCTGTGCTGCTGTGTGCAGAGCTGGATGCAGAGGAATGGTGTAAGCTGCTGTGCATGGAGTGCCTGGGCAGCCGTCTCAATGACATCAGCCTGGGAGAGCCAGACCTGTTAGCAGCGGGGGTGCAGCGGGAGCAGAACGGTGAGTGCCCAATTAGTCCCTGCTAACACGGGGCTAACACAGACAGCCATTCAGGGTCAATCTCTCTCACTCAGCCTGCCACCGAGCAGTTAGCTGATGCAGTCCAGGCCTTTATGTGTTAAAGCAACTAAGACCTCAGAGGGTTAGGTGAATGGAGAACAGCCGCTGTCCAATTAGGCCGGACTAATAATGGCCTTTTTCTTTTTTTTTTGCCAATACCTGATTCGATGTCCCATGTTACAGCCCATACTTACATTAGCACACACAAGGGCTCAACTTAAGACTTCAGAAGAATGTTTGGATGTGTGTGTGTGTGTGTGTGAGCACAGGTCAGTCACAGGCTGCGGCCGGGGCTCTGTTCCAGGCCTAATGAGAAGTGCTGTGCATCACTGGCTTCCCTCATAATGAAGCTTGTCACAGAGATGGATGAGATTATGGCTCCTAAAGCCACGTGAAAAAAATGTGCCTCCCCACATATTCCACTTACAGGAAATGAAAATGGAAAAGAGAGGAGACAACAGGGCTCTGCTATCACAGTGGAACTCATTCCCTGTGTAATTTGTAAAGTCGCAGAGGAAATCGAAAAGGCAACAGGCAAAAACGAGCAGTTTAAAGTCGAAAAAAGGGGGCGAGGAATTGAAAAGAACCTGCCGTCATTTCGACCCATTACATCCCGTTGCGGCTGCGGAGTGAAATTGTACTCCTCAACATGAACTTGGCTTCATTCGTTTACGGTATCAATACGCAAGTTTTTGACTGTGCCGGGAGTGGGGAGCCAGTTGAACTGTAACACTCGCTCTCTCTTCAGCTGTGGCAGAAATCCTGCTGTTTGTTGCTCCTACAAAGCTTTCAGCAAAGTGTTATGGAGATTAACTGAACTCGTACCTCTCCGCTGCCTCTTTGAGTGAATGAAACAAAAGGCTTTAGCCTGCAATTTCAATTAGTAGCCCTCCCCAAACAGCAGGGGCTGATAATTAGATCAGAGTTCATTTTCACTGTCCCTAAAAATACGCCACACCATGACACTGCCATTCTCTAGCCACTGCAGACTCATGGCTTATTTTGAATCATTAAGTGTAATTAGTGAGAACTAATCAGATCATGGAGGACTTTTTCCCCCCCTCACACTGTCTCTCTGACTCTCTCTGTCTCCCTGCCTCAGAGAAATGCTTTAATATGAATGGGCAGATTTGGCTCACTGATTCCGGTGCAGCTCACTGGATGGCCGGTTAGACCCACTGCGGTTGAAGTCAGTAAAGTACTGCTTAAAATGCCTTCTGCATTGTAGTTTTTCTCTACTTCTGCGATAGAAGCCGTGTTCAGTAACCTTGCAATATTTCAATAATAATTCATAACCTTTTTAAAATTTAAACAAAACCGCAGCCCCCGACTAGTCACCTCATGTGGCTTATATTTTATCCACCCTCTAAAGCACCATTTGCTGTTGTGAATGACACAACCCACATCTACGCTCAGTTAAACGCACTCTTCGCTGTGGGATCCCACCTTCAAGTACGTCTGCTGTGAATTGTTTCAGAACGCTTCAACGTGTACCTAATGCCCACCCCCAACCTGGACATCTACGGGGAGTGCACCATGCAGATCACTCATGAAAACATCTATCTGTGGGACATTCACAACGCTCGCCTCAAACTCGTCATGTGGCCCCTCAGCTCCTTGCGCAGATACGGCAGAGACTCCACCTGGTTCACTTTCGAGTCCGGAAGGTGCGTGTGTGCGTATGTGCATGCAAATATTTCACGCCTGCTGTTGTCTTACGTGTGATTGAAATGTTAGCAGTGGGAGTGAAAAACTTAGTTTTGGAAAGGTTATAAAAACTTCCACAAAGCAACTTCGGATAGCCGAAACATCCCAGGATATCAGCATTTGCCGCAGAGCCCTTCAGGCGACGATGTGACAGGTGCCTCTGTGAATGTGTCTCTGTGTTTGTGTACTGTATCTACTCACGCATGTGTTTATGTGTTTGACTCCAGCGGGCTATTATAGTGTCTGTAACTGAACAGTCAGCCATGCATATTTGTAGATCAGCAATCTGAGAGTGAGCGCGATCAAAGTGGGTCTCTGTGTGTGTGTTCCTGGCGCAGGATGTGTGACACAGGAGAGGGTTTGTTCACGTTCCAGACGCGGGAGGGGGAGATGATCTACCAGCGGGTCCACTCGGCCACGCTGGCCATTGCCCAGCAGCATGAGAGGATGATGGAGGAGATGGAGAAGAGCTCCCAGGTACATTTGTGCTTTTTTTTTTCTCTCTCTCTCTTCCGTTGTTTATCTTATATCCACCAGCCACACACGATAAGCCCGACAACTGCCTTCTTGTACCGCCAGCATAACAAGTGGCTAATAATCAATGCTGGTATCAACATGAAGTTGTTGTCGAAATAATTATGTATCACTAACATAGTGAGCTTCACTTTCTGTAGTTAAAGCATCCTGCTGAAATTGATGCCAGAAGAAACACAAAGATTCCATCTGTGCACACACTTGGACACATATTACTGTAATTTAATAAAACACCTTTCTTCCTCTGGTATTTCTGCAGCTCTTTCCCTGCCTGTTTGAGGCTGATCTGAGGAGCATTTCATTGAGGCTTTTTGCAGAATTCGTTTTAGAAAGCAGGCAATAGGTCATGATTTTCACACACACAACACACATTTCTCTCTAGGTACTGTATTGCCGTTTTGGACCAGGAGCCCTCTGACACCCTGCCGTCTTGGCCTCGGTTTCCTCCTTCCACCACAACATCATCCCGTGCATTTCTTCCTTCCTCCCATCCTCCCCGCTATCGTCTGCATTCTTTATTTATGTAGGCCTGCCTAGTGTTTGATGAGCCTTGACCATATGGTCATGCTCCTGGACCCCACCATTTGGGAACTTTTCCAAATGCAGCTACCCTTAGCTCTATAAAATGTACGCTCAGCAACAGAAAACTGACCGCTCATGTAGCAGAATGGGGGAAATGGCATGTTTACTGCTGGGTAAATCCATATTTTTTTCAACACTTAATGTATTTCAAGCTGCTTTTTCTAGACGGGAGTCTTTGGTTTCACGTTGAACGCAAAAATATAAAACGCATCATTCCCTGGCAAAACAACACGGGGACCCCGAACGAGTGTTGATCTCACCCATCACGCAGCCATTCATAGCGGAAACATGCCATGCAGTCTCTAATATGCTGTATTACCCATGCTGTTTGTTTACTGACTATGCAGAGCAATTTCACCTGTTGTGAGCGACTGACTGAGAGTGACAGAAAAGTGAGAGACACCGTATGCGTTCTCTGTCTGTTCCAGAGCCACTCCAGAGAGACGCTAACTAAGTCCATCTCCCTGCCACGCAGCGCCTACTGGCAGCACATCACGCGTCAGACCAGCGTGGGGGATCTGTACAGCTACCAAGGTACAAACAAGAAGTCACTAATTGTCATATGCACGGGTTGGGGTTTTGGCTCGCCGGCAAGACTGAAAAACTGCTAATGAGGATTACACGACAGTTATGGCTTTAGCTTTTACCTCTGTGTATTTCAGCACTATATACTTTTACAAATATGTACTTTTAAAGAAATTACTTTTTGTGTCTCGTGCATTGGCTGGTAGTTGCATTTATCTCATGTCTGCCATGCAAACTCAGCCTTATCTGATGCACATCTGATAAGCTTGAGTTCAAGAAAATGAAAGCAGATGAGTTCCACTCTGTGTAAGCACCGACGTTTATAGTCACAAACTCAACACAAGCGGGTGAGCTCTCTCCGCTTTGCTATTAAGATCTTTGGTAAAATGTTAGGCTCCTGTTGAGTTTAATCATACAGAAAAATTAGCCAACAATAATGGAAAATATCCAGATTTAGGTTCAAATTTGTCTTAAGGTAGTCAGATCATAATCTAAGCTGTGAATAAATGTATTTATTTTTTTATATCTAGAGGAAATTCACAACCATATTCATCTCAAAGCGTGTCGTTTTGTAAGCCTTAAACAACAACTTACAAGTAGAGCTAGGAGTTTCTGTCTCCTGAGTCTGAGCTGAGACTCTTCCTGTTTTCTTAATGACACAAATTATTTTTTATCACATAATCACGAATTGCCTGCGCGCTATTGTTCTTGTCCGTATCTAATACATAAATGAGACTAGGTTGTAAAAAGAATGTGCACCCTTAGGATAATGGCATCAGCTAAAGCTAATTAGATTCAGGAGTGAAATCAATGAAACATGATATATGGTGTGAATCAGGGATATTAGAGACTTTTGATCTTAAATAGCAACATTTTTATGAAGCTGGGGAATGTTACAAAGTTATCTTCTTTCTTCCACTCAAACAAAGTCAGTACAAATGGATATAATTTAGCTCTTTAGCTTCTCTCTAGAAGTGGATGCCTAAATAGATTCAAAAGCTCAGAGACTTAAAAAAAGAAGCCCAAAAAAGGCTTTAGGTTAACATCTCTGTTCCACTTTGTGAATCTGCCGTATGCAAATCAAGCGGAAAGACTGCACGGAGCCCGGTGTCCTTGGCAGAACACAACAGAGCAAGTTGCTTAAAAAAGAACATCACTGCACACCTTAAGTTGCCACAAAGCTCCTTCATGCTGTACTGCACCTGAAAAATCTTTTGTGTGCTAATTAAACTAAGGTTAAATTGTTTGGGAAGAACACGTTGCACTATGTATAGCATGAAAAGGCCCTGCATGCCAACATGAAAACATCAAAAGGTGAACTGAAGCGAAAGGGGGGCATCGCGATTCGGATCTTCTTTGTCGCCTCGGGGATTGGACGGCTCGCTGTCATTGTGCGGAAAATGAATTCTCGAGTTTGTGAAGGTATCCTCCAGGATAATGTCAGGCTGGCTGACCAGCTGAGGCTCGGGAGAAGAAGAAGCTGGGCGATGCAGTACAAACAATAAAGCAAATCTACTACAGGCTAAAATGTAACCCAGTGCACATACGCCCAGGAGAGCGGCTCACACCTGAATATTGAGAACACTCTGTGATTCCACATATGGATCTGATTGTTCACCCATTCTCAGTTGATTCCTGTTCAATATTCTGTGCTTGGAAAAGAAAAAAAAATAGGCCTACGCAGGTTTTCAGTGTCAACCCAACTGTTGTGTTATCTCAGTCTAGAAACACACCAGGAAAAAAAAGGCTTTGTGACTCACTCCATTGCCACAAGTTTGACGTGACTGTTTTGGGATGCGCAGCTGTCGGAAAAACACGCCAGCATTGATTAAAAAGGAATCGGCGAGCTTGGAGGTTTCCGGTGGATTTGACTATTTGGAACCTGCTCTTGATTTCCATCCCCTTTCACACCCTCCTAAGAATTTGACTGATGTTCTGAGCTCTCTGAGGATGTCTTTTTCTTTGATAACTAAAAGCAGAGACGCACAAGCATATCTAAATTACATTATAAAAGACAAGAATGACTTGTGAAAGAAAGCACATTCGTGTTTGCGCACGTGTGCAAGTAAGCGAGAGCGTCTCGAACCGAGTGCATTAATAATGCAGCAGGTGGTCCGTATGCGTCCAAGCTCAGCCCTGTTTGTCCTCTGTGTGCACTTAATGTACACGTATACTTCAGAAGGAGTAAGAGAGTGTGTGTATGTGGGTGTGTTTAATGTCTAGATGTAGACCAGAGGCAGAAAGGTGATTAGTGAGCTGATGCGATTATGCTCTGTCCGTGGTATTAGTTGATTAGTAGACTTATCTGAGGATTATGGGCCTTTTGGCTTTCACTGATAGAGCTAAACAGAAAGCCAGGCTAAGATGAAAGTCGCTCTGACGTCATAATTTTCTTTTGAAAAGCTAAGGCTGGGGTGTTTTTTTTTCTCTTTTTTTTATTATCATTTAATTGTGGCCGATAAGCTTAAAAGCAAAACGCAAGTCTTCCATTCCAAACATCAACATGTTTTTACTCATATACACTAAACGGAGAAGCTTCCACCTTGGGGTCATTATTTATAAGCTCAGTCACTGTAAAGTCTCCTTTTAAACTCTTCCTCTCCAAACTCTGGTGAGCAGAGGAGCTTCTCTCTCATCCATCACCTTGGCATATCCACTGGTCCTCCCACACTTTCTCTGCATGTCGGTCCACGTTTGGAACAACCCTCCACCTTCTCCTGCTCGTGCACATTCTGCTTTGCTATTATCTCTCCACCCTTTCCATGAATAAATTGAATGCATCAGTGTGTTTGAGGACGTTTGAGGTCTCGTCAGGCGAAGAGGACAACAAGGTTGTTCTGGGGAGTGATGGGAGTTTAAGTCCTGCTGCGACATGGGATGTTTGGCATGGCGATTCGCTTAACATGGCTGTAAGACATAGATGAGGACGGCCTCGCACATTAATTGCATTGATTCCTTATTGGCAGGCCTGCACCTCCCTGGAGGTCAAAGCATCCTGTCATTGACATGTTCCAAATTTGTTCAACTGGTTTTAACAATTGATTGCTTACAGCCAGGTAACAAATTAAAGAAAAAATCAACATACAGTGTATAAGTAATTTGGTAGGTGACCCACTGATTCTCATGAGGGTCTCTGGAAGTCAGCTGAAGGAATGAACATCATTTTTCCTGAATCGCCCGTAAATGTTCAGCTGGATTAAGATCTGATAACTGTGAAGCCATAACATCTTTATGCTCATCACACCTACTGTCCACTCTCTACATAGCAGGGTATAAATGTGTTCAAGCTTAGCAGCTTCATAATGGTTTGCACTGACCCTTCTCTCTTGAACATATTTACTCTCAAGACACATTTTGGAGCGACTTTTGAAATCTGAATGAAGCTGCAAACCATAATTCAGGGATAAATAATTTAAATCTTTACCACATCCAGTGGGATATTTATGATTATTTGGAACTTTAATTTGTCATTTGTTATCTATGAAATCATTTTACCAAAAAAAAAAGAGTTTTTTACTAATAAAACTGGAAAAACTGAAGTGCAGGAAAAAATATTTATTAACATGTTGAGCACTTTAAAAAAAAAAAAAAAAAGGTCACTGCACTCTTTGTTCCAGTGAATCAAATTAAAACTAGCCCGTACTTTTGTAACATATAGCAGTCGAATAGAAAAAGTGATGATAAAAAGGCCGGTTTCAGTTTAGTTTAAATTCTAGTTACTGATAAAGTGTGTTGGTAATAGCTTTTTTATGTCTGTGTTAGATCTGTGCCGTAGGCATGCCCTCTTTAAACCCCACGCTTTGACCAAATATAAACCTAGCTAGAAATGTAACCAGATGTTGCTATCGACGACAGGTATAAAAGCGGTGATACCAGTGGACACTGGTGTAGACTACATCATAGGCTCTATATATAGATTCACTGCAGAAGTGTAATTCAGGCATAAGCAGCAGCAGTGAAAGCAAACAGGTCTGTCCACTGATAAATCATCTGTTTTCCTCCATGACCTTTTGAACTTGGAATCCATAAGTAGATGGACTCAGTACTACACATGTATGTGTATACGTCCAGCGTTACTGAGGTTCAGCAAATTTGAGACAATAATGCACTGAGTGATAGACCCAGAATGCGACGCATGATTTAGTAACCAAAAACAAAATCAGTGTGAAAAATCCACATTTTCTTTCCCATTGAAAGAACCATTTTAAGTGATGATGAATTAAAGGAAAATGTTTTTAGAAATTCTGTTCTTCGTTACCATAGTCGTATCAGAGAAATGGAGATGGGCACAAGAACTCCAGATTTGAGACCCCTGGAAGAAACCATGCTGGAAAAATGCCCCACAACAGGATTACAGAGCCACCAAATCCATTCATGGGGGGATCAGAACAAAACTGTCTTTGATTTGTTAACAAAATTCTTACTAAAAGAAGCCACAGCAGCGGACATGGCATCCACTACTTTGAGTAATCTGTTTTCAACCATCTATTCAACAGCTAAACACACAGCTTAGCTTGGTTGCGTCTTTATAAACAAAGGTTTGAATATGAATATGCAAAATACGGAACACGATTTATGATCCATATATATGGTCTGATTAGCATTGACCAATAACATGTAATCAGGCTCTCGTTGAATGCAAGGAACCAACCCTGTTGTTTCCCTGAATGCAGAAGAGCAAAGCAACAGTTCAATTTTCCATAATAACATCTTGAAACCTTTGGGGGGTTTCTTGCTTTTTTTAAAGAATTATCTGCCTTCATAAACAATGGACAAGATATCTTGGCCGTGATATCTGCCGGCTACACCGGAAGCTCTGAAATGCTGGCACTCGTTCCAAGGGACTGAGTCATCAGACAATAGCCAATGGGTTCCCAGATTGCAGCTGACTCATTATGTAGTTATCACTGTTAATTAACAATATTTTTAAAAATCAGACAAAGTTAAAATTGGTGCCTAAAAATATCTTAGAAGCTCAAAACAGTCTGTCTTTCAGTACACAGACAGATTTAAACACCCTCAGTAGACATGGCTGCAGGTTGTGAGTTTTTCTTTTTTTTTTTTAATAATTATGCTATTAGCTCCCAGAATAATAATTTGGATCCTAATATAGGTAGGAAGTCAGATTCTTGGACCATGATACAGCTGGCTGTGTCTGCTTCCTGGCTGTATCACTCTGTGCATGATGAATATCCAATCAGCACAGTCAATTTGCTGAGTCATGCTCGGGCTGCTTTCAAATACCCTGCGGGTCCGGTGGAATAATTAAGGAACACAGTCCCCCCCACCCCACCCCACCGCTGAGGTTTATTCACCTATTTGTTTATTTCTTTGTGTCAGTAAATGTGTGGACTTGGCAGTAAAAGTAGTGTCACTCTTTTATTCAAATATATTTAACATCTGCTTTTTACTGAGCTGGAATTGTCTCAAAAACACGTCCCAAAAGCCTTGTTTGCTGTAACTGACAAAGATAATGGTAAAATGCATCTTGTTTAAAAGAAAAGAGAGCTTTTCATCCATTTTCAGCTCAATCCAGCCCCATCAAAGCATTCAGCTTTTTTAAATATGACCTTAGATTGGTGTTTTCATCTTCACAAGATACGTCATACTGAGACAGGTTATGGTTTATACCGCTGGTTTACTCTCTTTACTCTAATGTTATTCACTCTTTTGGATTTCGGTGAAACTGCCGTGTCCTCAGAGTTTGCTGATGCAGAGGAAGTGCACTTTAAAGTTTTCGAGGCGCCACGCCTGTCGGAAATGGTTCAATTACCAACCCTAATACTGGGAAGGAAAGGGACGGGGATGCTTGTGTTTTTTCGTATACCCATTTTTGTGTGCATGCGCATGTTTCGCATGCACGCCGTCTTTCTCTCTCTCACTCCTGCATTTTATTGTGCTCTGTAGTTTAGTGATGCGAGGGGATTTTTTTTCCGAGAGGTAGCAAGTATCAAAGGGACAAGACGATAACCCCGTCTTATCTGCGACGGGCAACATGAAGTATTGTAGATGTATAGTAAATGCAAAAACTGAACCCCATGAAAAACTTATTGCAGGTAAAAGTTAGTTTCTTTCTTCTTGGTGGACGTCACCGCACATTATATGAATCAAAGCATAAGTTAGCGACCTAGTCTCTAGGCTGGATCAGATTGATATTTTATCACTTACAGCCTGTCGTTACCCCAGCGGCTTTTTACTGCCCAGGAGACGCAGCCGTGCATGTTTGTGGTATGTTCAACCCGGGTTTCTCTGGTTACAGCTGTTTCTAGGATGCCATCTGCGTTGTTGCACTTTGAGGAAAGAAGGTGGAGAAAGGTGCATGCGTGTGTCCACACACACACATACACACATGTGAATAGCTGCCTCTGTATCCGGCTCTGCTATTCTGTCAGTGTGTGAGAGGGCCCTCCCCTGCCTGTACTGTCTGCTCTGGCCCAGCAGCTGCCACCCCAGGCCAGATAGAATGACATGACCTTCCCTGGTAATGAAAAGGCACTGACAAATCACTGTCTGCTTCTCACAGGGATAGACGAAGAGAGGAGATGCTGACACCATCATCGCTCTCAGTGCTTTTTATTATTATTATTTTATTTATTTATCTTGTAAGAGTGTCTGCTTTACGAAAGCATGGCTCTCGTCAGGGGTCTGGCACCGCACAACAAACACCACTGTTTACCACTGAGGAGATGATGAGATCCACTTTGCCCTCTCTGTCTGCTCTGGGCTCCCTGCCGCCCCCCACCTTTTTTTTTCTCACCCAGTCTAAATTGGCCTTGGTTGAGGAGAAGGATTGTCTTGGCAAAGATGTGAAAAGGATATGCCTGGTTGCGCACCAGTCGTTGCAGCAATCTATTAAGTACAACGCTGAGGAAAGACAAAGTGCACCCCCCTCCACCCCCTTATTTTAAAACTTGCAGTGGGTTTTTTCCCCCTTTTCCTACAGCACGGACACTGTTACATTTAAATCCTTAAGCTAGAGCCTTATGCCATTCTTTTCCTTCATTTCAGGGAGTGGTGGAAAGGAAAGACTAGCAGACAGAGGTGTGTATGTATGACTCACCTGTTATGGCTGATGCTGTGTTGGTCTCATCCTCACACCCACACAGGCCCCTCTGTGCTTCCTCCTGCAAGCTGTTCCTTGAACTCGCACAGGAAAAATGCCTTTTCTGTGTTTTCCCTTCTCCGCATCTTTCTTTAACTTGTGCATCTTTTCTTTTTTACATGCCTCCATTTTTTAAAACAAGACTTCTGTCTCTGTGGTACTGATGTACGCTCACAATTGACATTGATTGCCAGGTTGACTGGGTCATGTTTTATATTCCGCGTTGTGGTGAAGTGGCAGCGTGTCTGATCCCAGTTCCCTTTGGGTGCCATGATATCTGGTGCTGCTGGCTGTGCGCGTGGGTTCTGGTATGTGTGTGATCTCTGTATAACAAATGGTTTGCACAGCTTAAAGTCATATCTACTAAGAAGCATTTCAGCACCAATAACAGTTGTAAGAATCACGACTTTATCCATGCCCCTTGGGAATATTAAAAAAACAATCAAATTTTAATTTGTTAATCAAATTTCAATTAGCCTACATAGGTGAATCTGAAATGCCTGAAAAATATTGACATTAGCAACTTCTCCCAGCTGGCTATGTTAGCTGGCCCCGTGTATGCTGTAGGTTAGAGTTGATTACAGCGTTGTGTTAGGTTTCGCACCTCCTGCAATATTGATCATTGGCCACTTCCTCCTTGTTTGGTGCATGATCAGCAGCTTGCCAGCCACTTTATCCCCAACCTACCTCCGTGTGCACGTCTCCAAACCACATTCTAATATATTATTAATGGTCCCGCGGTTGCACAGGAACAGCCCTCCACCCACAAGTATCCATTACTCACTTTCAGTGCATTTTACCAATACAAACTGCACAACAAATTGGGCCAGTTAATTTAAATTAAGGTGGAGAGGGAAATGGCAGGGGACAGAGAGAGACGACAGCAGTCGAGGAGGATGAGAGGGCCGAATGAAGTTGTTTATCTGAGATGAAAGGTTGCTTTTATGTCACATCTGTTACTATTATACAGCTAAGGGTTTATAGATTTTGTATATCTGAAAAGGACCTTCACCTTCATCAAAGGGCTTTAAAAGATTGTTTTAGCAAAATTGAGAAGCGTCGTTCTTTAATCTCCATAAAGATATTTCCATGGACAGTAGCTAAGCAACAGTTGCACCATGACTATATAGTTTAAGAAACAATACTGTGTTGCAGTGGAGTTCCAGATAAATGAAGCAGATCGGCTAATTTTACTCCTCTTAACAAAAAAGAAGAAATAGAGAGAAAAAAAACTGCTCACTTGAAGCTTTTCTTTCTCCCTCTCAAAGGAACAGGCCTGATGATGACTTTCATCCCGAGAGCACAGACGTTCCCCAGCTTTCTGTCTGATGAGCCTGAACAGGAGGAGAGCCAGCACCAGCGAGAGGCGCCGTCGCCCTCTAGTGGCTGTGAATCTAGTTGCAGCCTGAGACCCCTTCAATGACAGAGAATTGCTCCATCGACACTGGACTGAACACTTCACCCACTGCTTTAGAGAGGATGTAGAAATATGTATAGCAACATGTGTAATATATCATTTTATGGTGATAATTTACAGACAGTAGTGTCAACTGTAGAGCGATCGGTACGCGAAAAAAGGATCTCGAGGAGGATTGTATCTATTTTTTTTGTGCGACGTGCGACAGCCGAAGTAGCTTCAAAGATTGTACCAAAAGGAAGAAAAAAATCCTTTAACTGTCGTTTTTAAGTGTTTTATGTTGTCATTATCCTTTTAAAGCCAGCATGATTCTCCCCATCCCTGTTTTAAAGCACTACATCATACCTTCCAAAACCTAAAAGCTACTAACACACCACGGCCCGCTGTAAACCAGTGTCAACTTTTATTACAAAACTCCTGAAATGCCATCAGGCTCGCTCCATTGATGTGCAGCCTCAGCAACCAATTCATGAGAAATTCCACCAGTTTTGACTCAAAATACTCCCACACTCGCTGCTTTCACCTTTTTTTTTTTCTTCTCAAGAATGTGAAACTGATCAATGCCTTACACAAAAAACGCTCGATGCTGACGCCAGTGATGGATCAGCTAAAGTCCTGAATGAATACAACTGGCAAAGGGAAATAGTCATTCAGATATGTGCTTGAAGGATGTAGTAATGGACCGTCGTGTCAGAAATGATCCAATGTAACCTTCGCACAGCATCTGCTTTAAAACTGCCAACCTTACCTTTTCACCAGAGCAATTTGATTTTAATAGCCACCAAGCACGTCGTCGTCCGGTTCCTCTGAGGACTAGTTCATTTGCAAAAAGGTGTAAAGAGAGCGACCTGAGGGAGTAAGCTACACAGAGCAGAGGTGATATTGGCATTTTGGGTCCAGGATGTGCTCTGTGGCAATTAAACATCATAACTACTTTTCATTCAACTTAATAACACAGTTTAATTTTGGGGAAAATAGATTAAAATCAGTGCATTTCTTTGAGAACATATACTTTGTTAAAAAGTTACTCTAATGCCTGGCACTCCCATTTCACAAGCTCAGAAATCAATCTTCCAACTTCAGTATATTTGTCCACTGATATGGGGGGAAAAAAAAGTATAAAATCACTTTACCTGAAGTGGTTAGTGCTGATAAGCACCTACTCTAGTTTTCCTAAGGGTTACTAACCTGATACTATGTTACAGAATAAATGGTAGCCAAGAAAAGACACAATATGCGAAACTCCAAAGCTTATAAAAGTCTACTGTTGTTGTACTGAAGTTGAGACAACGTGATACCAACATTTTTATAGTTAACTAAAAGTAGATGTGAAAACCAAAACAAAGTTAGCTAAATAATGATAAAAACTAGACTTTTGAAAAGAATTAAAGTAGTAGCTGAAATGATTTTGTGAACTCATAGTTTTACTATTTGTTAGTTCAGTAAAAGGTTTGATGGATATGTTTATTGAGACTTTGAATGGCTACATGATGGTGAACAGCTGCCTTCAAAAAATGGGGTTTTATTGTTATACGTATGTTGATTTTTCTTAAATCTTGCCTTTCACATATTCCCGACACACACTGGTAATTAAAAAGACTAAAGGTCATAACGAAACAAATGTACCCTAAACTACAGTGAAACATTCTCAGACAATAAAAACTGAACTGAAACTGAGCTGAAACAAGCAAACCCACTCTTAGCTCTATGAAGGAAACTGATTTTGTGTATCAGCACGTTATTTCTTTTTTCATGGGTTTTTTTTTTTGGTACAGAGGAAATGAAACAATGTAACAAGTTTGAAACAGTGAGGCTAATGTTTTTTGTTTCCAGGCTTTGGCTGATGGCTTTGGAAACAGATCTACTCTTTTAAAGAAGACAAAAACAAAAAAACACCCACACAGTTTCAAACCCAGCAGCCTAACAACTAACTACCCCTGCTAGTTCCCTGCAGCCCCCTTTTTCCATCCGCTTCCATTCCTCTCTGTAGCATGACGGAAACACTGCTGTGATTATGGTTTCTGCATCGTCCTCCTTGAGTAAGAAGTGCCTTCCGACACACAGACCGTGGATTGTGAGATCTAACCAAAGCAACGTCTTTGGGTTTTGAGTTTACCATCGCTGACCGGACAGTTTACTTGGAATCTTCAAAACCGCTTTGCCACATGTCCTTTTTTCCCGGCTGTGAAATGCCATGTAACAGCATCAATACCGAGTGTAACCTGTTAGCCGTGGGTGGCAATCACTAGACCCAACTTCATCTCTAAATATTTGTGGTGACGTTTTTCATGCATCAAAATTTTGACTTTTTTTTTTTCTTGTTCGTTCTCCAATACTGAAATTACAGCATTTTGTGGGTTAATCACAAAAGTTTCCAATGACAATCAGTTTTAGGCAACATAGGAGTCTCTCAGTGTCAAATGTAATCATTGTTAAAGGTGGGTTGTGTTTTTGTTGTTTGTTTTTTTGTTTTTTGGCACTGATGCTCTTTTGTCTTGGTTTTACATTTGAACAGTTTCTAAAGTACAAGCGCTTATTTTGTGTTTCGCAGTCGTCACTTTATTTTGTGCAAAATATTATATTAAAAAAAGAAAAAACGCATCATGTAATTAATTTTATTAATTTAAGCCACAGATGATTGTTAGCCTGCATCGCAGAGTCCACTGATACAGTTGCTGGCCACATTTAACTAAGCTGTTGTATAACTGAGTTGAGTCTTAGCTCCAGTATAGTAGTTCCATTGCACTGGCAGCTGTACTGAGAGGACTGGAGAAACTTCTAGTTGATTGTGTTTGTCATGTGCCGTTTTATTTTCGTTCACTGTAGCTATTCACTTGTTTGTAGAAGTGTCACGAAGAGTTGTTATCATTACTATATGATTGTGTTTGTGTCTGCCATGTTTTGTTCTCATAGATTATAATAGCACTTTTAATACATGAGTGTAGGCCTACAGTTTTCACTAAATGTACATATGTAATGTTTTTGATGATTAAAAAAAAAGGTAATAAATTCAATGTTCTGCCATGTATCAGCTTTTTTTTTGCCCTTTATGCCATCAGGATTCTCATTAGGTACATTTAGCATTCTTTTACTTTTCATTCTTTACGCTTTAGTTAAGCTTTAGGGGAAAACAATATTGTAATGGGGAAAGTTTTGCAATAACACACAAGAGGAGTACAGTCATGTGAAAAAGAAAGCACACCCTCTTTCAGTTCTAAGGTTTTACGTAGGAGGGATTAAAAAAAATCAGGTGGTACATAACAGGTCTTAAATTCGGGTAAATCCAACCTCAGATGAATCAGAAGGCACTGCATGTTACCCTGGCATATGTGTTGTTATTCATTCGATCATGGCTGAGCCAAATTCAGAAGCAGCGTGCGGAAAAATAAAATAAGTACAAGCTTACTGCTTCCACAGGAATTATGAGGTTCAGTAACGGTGATCATCGGGAACTGCGAACCTCTATGAAACCTGATGTTTTACTATTTAGCCAAGGACGAAAGACGTTAGTAATTTTCTTAGGGTTATATTTCCAGACAATTTAAAGTCCATGATTCTGCAGCGAGAAAGATGATTCACAACAGGACTGCATGTCCCAGCAAATTCACCCCGAGGTCAGGCTGTGCAGCGCTCACTGACACTGCACCCAAGAGCTACCTCTCAGACTCTACAGACCTCAGTTTATACATTAAATGTTAAAGTTCATTTCAACAAGACGGATGTGTGGCTTGTTTAGAAGGGATGCCAGAAGAAAGCCTCTCCTGTTTAAAAGGAGCATGGCAGCACAGCAAGCTTGGATCTAAACAAGCCGAAGGACTGTGGACAGATGAGACCAGCATATCAGCACACCTCATACCAGCTGTCAGACGCAGTGGAGGGCTGATGGTTTAAGCTTGTTTTGAGTCAACCATGAACTCTTCTGTATACCAAAGAGTGTAGAGTCAAATGTGAGGCCATCTGTCTGACAGTTGGACAAACTAGGTTAATGGACAATGATCCCAACTACAGCAGCAAATCTACAACACAATGGTGGAAAAAGTAACAAATCAACATGTTGCAAAGGCCGAGTCAAAGTCCTCAACCTAGTTGAAATGCTGTGTTGGGACCTTAAACTAGCCGTCCATAAACAAATGCCTTCTTTATAATGAAGAGCGAAAATTCCCCCACAGTGAGAGATGAACAAAAACAGTGTTTTCACACTTTCTGCAGTTTCGTTCAGTTGAAAAACACGAGCCCCTTACTCTACTTTTTAACATTGTTTCTGTGCATGCCATGCTAAAAGCCAGAAAGCGCCTCTTCAGATCATTAGTGGCTTTGCGGGTGGTGGTTAACACACTCTTCTTTGACTTACGCTTTCAAGCTGAGGTTTCAGATAGAAGCAAACACCTCATTCTTTGCATCTGTCATTTTGGTTCACAAACAGATGTACGGCACACTTCTTATCTTGGCTGTTTCATCATGGTTTGACAGATCGTTTTGTGTTTCTTTTTCAGAGAGCCAACACTAAAAAGTAAGCAAAGGGTTAGACACCGAAGAATATAATACTAATTTTATTTAGAACGTAACCTAAATTTGACAGATTACAATGAAAGTGTCACCAACGGGAAAGAAAAATCCACCTGCAGTAAATTATATATAGGCGTTCAAATTTGCAGACATCTCACAAATTGTCTGATGAAATTGAACAGACTCTGCAGTCATTCGCCGCTTTGCAAAATGCTGGATTTTTATGCGGGCTGCTTTCCTTTTTAGATCATCACGGCTCATCTTTTGCCCACGTGTCACCTGGTACCTCTTTGTGGGTTACAGGAAAGGATTTGCTTTCTTAGAAACGACTACAGTCATCGATGATTCTGTCCAATTAGTCTACAAACTCAACTACACCTAACACAGGAAAACAAAAGGAAGCAGAGGCAGTGACACAGTTTTATTCGTACCACATGAAATCGTTTACAGTCACACACATCAGTTTCAGTATGGTTGGTCACGCTCGCGTCATCTTTAGTGCCATCCCAGAATGTACAGCTGCAGATTCTTGAATTGGAAGCGAATTGAAAGCAAAAAACAAACTGATTATATTGTCCCTTTATGCTCCACATTTGTCTTGTTCTTAGCGGAATAGCCCGCATATCCATTACTGCCTCTGCCACTGCCTCCATTTCTATGGAGATAAATGAATTAGATTACACAAACAGCACACGGCTTAACAGTACTACAGCACCATAAACCCTAAATATTGATTTACGAAAGCAAGCTCGGAAAAACTCTGGAAACAAAACAATAAATACAGCTTGGAAAACTTTTGACAGCTTATCATAAAATCATTTTTACAACAGGAGAACAACGACAGGAACAAACACTCATCAATAAACAGCAGGCACACAAAGTCTGAGCAGCTACAAAGTAAGCACAGGATTAGCTAATTAGAGCTTAGCTCCTGCGCGAAGAGTGTGATGTAACTAGAATGCAGCCATCCCAGACACAGAGCCCGTTGGGGTAAGTAACGGTCTCAAGTGATGGTACAGTGCTGAGTGACTGCTTTTCTCTTCCGTTAGATGATTAGACACCATTGTCAATCCCTGAATGGAAACCAGGAGGGATGAAAGTAAAAAGGAGGGCAATTACAAAGGCTTTTGTCAGTCGTTTTACTCGGGGGTTAGAGAAGTGAAAAGAATGATTACACGGCCCTTTGTCTTGTCTTCTGCGTGATTGTTACTGTCAAATACTGTTATGGCCAAAACAAATATTTCTTCAACAGTAATTAGGCAGTACATACTACATTTAATTAGAGCGAGCAAGGCTGGACCCAAACAGCCCCTGTCAGCGTTCTGACTCGCAGATAAGCACCAACTTGTTAGCTCATTTGAAAACAAGGTGTGAATGCTAATCAGTGTCAGCGTGATCCACGCATATACAAGCGTGATCCACAAGATATCAAATAAATTATTTGTTCATGTGAACACAGGTGGATTTCTTCTTTTTTCTCAGATAAACTTTGATGCGCTTTGTTTGTGAAAGGCTGGAAGGCGCACGCACACAAAGCTGTGACAGATCGACATCATCCAGTACCTCGCGTTCGTGCGTGTGTTTATTTATTACACTGTCGTTGGTGCGATGTGGTTTTCATGGATCGGACGGTCTGTACGTTGGCATAAACGGGACAGTTTCTGATCTGTCTGGACTTCTTTATCCTGGGACACATGGGGATGTTCTCATAGAAGTTTGGCTGTGAGGATGTGAGGAAGTGAATGTTAATGCTTTTTAAGCCATTACACCAAAACAGGCAGTAGAGGTGAAGCAGCTTGGCAAAATGTAGTCACTTTTTCCACCAATATGGGCTGACGCTAATAAATAACACATTCATATTGTATCAAAATTGTGTAAAAAGATCAGCTAATTATTAAAGAGCTTGTGTATTTATTTACATCAAATAATCAAACTCAGGACATGGATACTGTAATAACATTTTAACAAGCTGCTTGTCTTCAAAAACACTTTCAGTTAACATTGAAGTTAATTAGCATTAGTTAAATGAGTGGGCGGTGCCATTAACTGAGATTAGCTGTAAAGGGTGATGGTTTTGTAATTAAGTGCAAGTCTGATGAGAAGGTACGGGAGTGCCTTAAAGGTATCGAGAGTAAAGAGGAGAGTAGATAAAATGAACGTGGCGATGCCTACCTGTCTCTGGGATGGGTGCAGTTTGACTCTGTACTCCTTTCTCTTGTTCCTCTTTCTGCAGGGTTTTCAGACAAAAAGAAGGATTTTCATTACTGTCCAAAACAACCCCAAACTTAACTGAAGATTTCCAAGATAGTAATGATATTTTCTTATAAACACATTTCTTCAAGGAGCACAGGTTTAAACAATTAAAGGGTGACATTTGTTAGGCATGTATGGAGCTTGAGATGGAAGCATGCTCCCTGCTAAACATCAGTGTGTCAGCGTTATCACACTATGAGCTGAACCATCGGTGTTCCCTCCGTACTTATCTGTGTTTATTGACAGAGCACCCCTTACTTTAGTTTGCTGATATCTTACCTGTGCCTCATTACTGCTATGATGATGGCAATAAGTAGACAGAGTCCAGCAGCTCCAACCCCGATGTAAATGTACATCATGTATAACGACAGGCTGAACCAACCTGGTTATGTGTAGGAGCGAGAAAAACAGAAGAAACAAAAATCAAACAGGGAACAAAACAGTGTGAAAATTAGTTTTCTGAATAATTCTATGTCATACAGCAGTGTCTGATTAGTGTTTTCAATTTGTTCCATGACACACATATGGTGCAACCAGATACGCAGTGACAAAGCTCGGACCTTTAGCCACAAACCTCTGTGGTTTCAGCGCACTGAGCAGCTGTGAATGTGCGAGTGACATCACATGCTTTGTTTTCTTTAATTTCATTATCATCACTGGCCTTATTTACTTCCATCCACTTCTTAATGTCAATTCACAACAAATTTAAACAATCACAGACACACACACAGCTGCATGTCTTAAAAACTTCATGATGCCTGCTTCGTACCTGAAGCCACAGTGGTGAGCTGCACGGTGGTAGTTTGCTGTCCTGCATCGGTGTTAAAAGTACAGCGGTAGAAACCGTTGTCTTCCTGTGTCACGTCAGTCAAGTGCAGACTCATATCCAGGCTGTCCTCGCAGCTGACCCGGCCCCTGTCGCTGTAGTCCTCCGCCACCAGGCCTTCCTCCACCTTCTTGCACACTCCAACAATGATCCACGACTGGCCGTGCAGCATCCTCTCCAATATGACCTGGTTAACGGTGCCATTATGCTGATAGTTACATCTGATGGTCAGGTTGCTGTTCTGCTCTACTAGCAGCTCTTCGTTTGAAACTGCCTCCTGTGTGGGAGTGGGCTCTGTGGGGTCTTCCTCCGGTGGCTCATCTGTAAGCGAAAGAAAGAAATCTAAAAATATGTGACGGAAACTACAGTATGGCACCTTTCTAGGTTTCATATTTCACCATTTTTTAATCACTAAGCGGGGGAGGTGGGAATGATACTAGA